ACTTTCCTAGTCCACTGTGGAATGATATTTTTTTGTCTATTGGGCGTCGAACTTTGGACATATATATAGACTAACAAAATGGCCGCGTACACTCGGGGATTAACATGCATTTAAATGGGACAGTGAGATGTTTAAAAGTATTCAGATGCAGCTTTCGTCTATCCCATTTAAACTCATACGTCAATGCCCGAGTGTTTGTCGCTATATTGGTTATATCAAAATTTGATGCTCAATTGATTCTTCGTTAAAGTTTTCCACGCGCTGTGCAGCCTCTTTGTCTGAATACGTGCCTACTCGTCTCTTTCTTCTTTTTTATCTATGCTGCCTTTTTATCTAGCCTTGCTCATCGTCATTCGAGGTGCAGATACAGTACTACTGCTATGTGCACACGTTTTCTTTAATCTAGAGCCTTTACCAGAATCTTTACCTTTTGATTATGCGCGTCCTTGTCTCTTTTCCACTGCTTGCTCATTTGAATCTTTTCTTTTAACCACGCCGTGCATACGTATTGCGCTTCAACTTTCTGGTTAATTAAACATACAAAAATAAGGATTTCAGCTAGACGCTCGGCTGCTTAGACGTGGATTTTATTACTAAAAGAGTCGACTTTGTTGCGCCAACGGAATGATACTGTACTCGCTGAAAGATCAACGCGAGGCCTTAGAAGCATTACAAAGTTATCCATACGTCGAGAAGCAGTAGCAGCATACACAGCATTGTCATCGTGGCTATAAAAGAAAAACTCGAGCTATCTTATCTCCGACTCATACCCCTATCTGGGATGCGCCGCTTCGTCGTCTATATCCGTGTGCGTGTGCATCTATGTGTGGCTGCGTGGCTGTGCGCATGTATATAAACAACGGAAAGAGCCGTAAACAACGTCTTGAACTAACTCGTAAAATTTTGCACTCAGTCCTGTGAACAACGACAAACTCATTCCCGGCGCGTAATCCTGAAAAATATCCCAGGCTCCATTTCATTTTTCTTTAGCGCCCTCGCTCGCGCGCGGCTACCAGCTATCTTCTTTTTTCCCCTCCCTTTCTCCTCTGTCCCTCGACCTTTTGTCAACGCAAAAGCGAATTATAAATGTTTCAACGGATTATCTCGCGGAGGAAAGAATTTTTTAATAGTCGAGGTATATAACGCCCGTTGCACTTAATCTCAGGCCGGCTGGCAAAGTCGAGCTTGAAAAATTAAAGATATACAGCTTATTTATATAGAGATGTATTTGTATAAGCATGTATCCGTATAAGGTTGCAGCATCGACCGCTACTAGCTTTCCTCATTGTAATGTATGCATTATACGATGATACGCTTTTGGCCTACGTATATATCCACGTGCGAGCTATAAGGGCGAGTAAACGAGTGGCATGGCTGAGCATAGTGACGAAACTTTAAAGCTCATTATGCATTAAACGACTTTTTTTGACCCGAAATGAGCTCCTATAAGCAGTTAATTATAACGCGCTCTACTGTATACTTGTGGCTTCAGACTTGGCTACATTATTATATCGACTAGCGGATCCTTTTTTGCGATTAATTTGTGGATATTTTACGCTACGTTTGTTTTGTCCCGGAAAAAAAATTAATTTTCCGCGAGCTCTGCTACGAGGTATTTTAATGCCGAGGAAAAAAGTATATAATACATCTGAACGCGTTCAACTCAAAAATGAATAATATTTGTTCACGAGCACTTCAAACGGAATTTAATCTTCTCTAACTAAATAGATTTACCCGTAAATAATTTTTCTGTAACGGCAATTTTTCAGCTAATAAAACACGCTAATGCCGGAGAGTATGAGTGGCATATCTGTTAACTAAATATGTTACTTTTCTGCCTCTCTCTCTCTCTCTCTCTCTCCATCCCTTTTTTTTAGCAGTGGCGGTAGTAGTAGAGCAGTAGCGAGTTGGGAGAGGAAAAGCTTTGACTACACACAAAAAGAGCTGCGTGGGCAAAGTGGTAATCTAGCTTGATTTTTCCTTCTCTTTTGGCCGCTCGTCCCCTCTCCCCCTTCCCTCCCTCTCTCTCTCTCGCTCTTCTATGCTCTCTTTACCATCCCCGCGTTGCCTGCACATATTTGCGCGCCTCGTGACGTTATGTAGCGATGACTTGCTACTGTGCCATTTGGCTGCACTGCCGAGTTTACTTTTCCTGCGCTATGCGCTACTGTGCATTTCGATGGTCACTATATATACATAGGTAGGTATAGCTTGTACGGCACGAACCGCCACGTTTGCATCCGCTACCTTTTCATTTGAACCTTTCATTTCGCTGAGCTTGAGCCCTACCCGCAGCCGCTACAAAATAGAAGCCTATAGGCCGGCCGCTGCCACCGCCAATGCCAGCTTCTACTCATATATATAGTTAGGACGTCGTATAAATACACACGCTCCACTCGTGGAACTATGCAAAAAACCATGGTATTGTGGCAAAAAGGGGAAATATCATGGATATTCGTAAGTACACAGTGTGAAAAAGCTGCGACTCGAGACTAGATTAAAAAGTCAGTTGGTCTGCTCTAAATTCAAAGCGGCGAAATATCGACGGGAAGACGAAATTCATATGGTTATGTGTACTTATCTTTCCGCATATGAATCATACAAGTCATGCAAGTCATATGCAAGTAAAAAATACGAATTTGAAGAACCAACCAGATGAATAAAATAGATATGGTTTGGCAGCAAGTAAAATCTTGGATTTCTTTCGTACAAAAAAAAGTACTTATAAGCGGGCAGTGTGTTTCATGTATATATGGCTAAATTGGAAAGTAATAGGTTCAACGCAAGCTGGAATGCGAAGCAATCGGATTTTTCTGTCGTGTGTAGTACTGGTGGAATTCGAGTAGTGCGCGCACACAAGTATATATCTATAGAAACGAAAAGCCGAGTATGTGGGCAGACAAGCGAAGTAAGAAAAAACGATGAAGCTTTATTCGAGCTGTAACTACAGAGAGCGAGCCGTTGACAAAGAATTTTTCCTCTGACCAAGCTATATAGCTGCGCACACACACAAGTCGACAAATCGCGTTACCCCACAGGTAAAAATGTCGAATTGTTGGCACTGTCCAAACTCTGCACGTCAGAACTATACACGCCTATACAGAAACAGTAAATAAACAACAGTTTCTGTATAGGCACGGACATTTCTGATATGTGGAGCTCGGACGGTGTCGAATTGTTGCTCTCGCCTGTTTATACACAGCCGAAAATCCGAAATGAAACGACTTGTCTAGATGCCGAGAAAAAGATCGAATAAATAGACCGAGTAGATTTTCCCAGCGACGGAAAGGTTCTTTATGGAATAAAATAGGAATGACTGCATGAGCCATTGTGTGCATGCCTCGGCTCCGCGTGTACATACTTTCGCAATACTGCCTTTTGAGAGAGGCCAAAGTCCTGCGGAAACAAAAGTTTCCGATTGCAGAACGAAATTGATGGCCTTCCGCTCCTAACCTGCATACGCGCGATTTGTCTCTGGGACTCGATTTTCTATCGAAAATTAATCGTAAACGTGGCCGCCCGCACTAATGAGTAGGTTCTAATCGCAACGCAGGGAATCGATTCTGTCCATGGAGTCCGAGTTCTGGGTTAAAATTCACTCACGCATCGATCGATTACTATAAAGTATCGATTATTTCGCTGAAACGATTAGGTGGACAGAACTGACCACGCATATATTCAAATACAATATAGTATCCCGACTGTAAAACAATATTCTGCCAGTGGAATAGCCTTTTTCCATTATTATGTACGTCTATACCTAGATTTTTCATGATAATCTACTGCGCGTAACTGTCCTGCGTTTCTTTGTTATATGTTTTTGCGGGTGCCATTGAGATCATATGTCGTGATTACTTGACCACAGTTTTTAATCGTTATCTGTTGTGTGTGCATGTAAAAGAATTGTAATATAGTGCAGTTCCTATAGACTGATATCTTGTTTTGAAGAATATTTGATATTTTTAAAATTGGAACGAAGATTATAAGTTATTTCCAGACGTTTATTAAGAACACCACTTGTTTCAATCAATATAACAAGATTCTTTTTTTTTGTTCAATGATTGATTGTTGCTGGTAATTTAAGTATCTAAAGTTAAATCCATTTAGCATGACGAAAAAATTTTAGGTAGCTATAAAGCCATTAGCTAGTCAGTAAAAATCCAATTTAGCAAATGACTCGAGAAACGAAAGATGAGCACACAATGGCGATTGAAGAGCTTGTAGCAAGAAAAAGATACACGCTTGACATCGAGTGAAAGCTTTGATCGGTGAAAGCACTTGTGGTAGAGCGCGCCGAGCAGCCCCATGTGGGTTGATTGCGTAGGTCGCAACGTGGTTTCGTTCCCTTACACGCTACGCGTTCGACAGTTTGATCCTAATCTTTCATTGTGTTGTCACAGCGCAAAGTTGCGATCACTACGAATTATTATATGATCAAACATCGGGCAGCAAAGGGACATTTTTTTTTCTTTACAAGCTGCGCGCAGTTGAGCAGTCGCACGAGCGCAATAAGATGGTGTATAGAGAGAGAGAGAGAGAGAGAGAGAGAAAAAGCCTCGCTTTTCTCCGAGAGAAAAGGTAAATTGTTAGAAAGTAGTTAGAGAATACGACTTTGGCCGTAAAAAACTTTTAAGGGCACAAATGTTGCACAACTTTATGTTATTGCGAAACGAGCTTCATTATGACTCGTTGAGTTGGATAATGCAATGTACTTTGCTCGGATCACTTATACACGTTGAGGTGTAAATCTTTGTCAATTACACTGAGTGCACATCGGAGAATACTTGTTTGCTTCGCTGTAAATATTTTTCTATAATGATTTTCTCTCACTCTCGCGCTCACAATTTAATAACGCATTAAGGTAGAGAGATAAATTTGAAAAAAATTACTTGATACACGAGTGCGCAGTGGCAAGTCTACCTCCCTGAAATTTATCGAAAAGCTAATCATTATATGTAAGCTAAAAATAACGCCTAAATGAGAAATATGTATTTTTACAGATGCACAGAAGGCTGCTATTCTTCTGCTGTTGGCTGCTGTTCCTCGATCTCTGCCGCACAGTCAATCCAGGTAATGAAACATGCTTCATTTCATGATGAACGTGGCCCTCTCTATATTGTATGTTATTTTTTTATCTTCGTCCGAGAGGCCGTTAAGCAGTGCGCGCGCAAAAAAAAGTGTAAACGAAATGAATAGCGCGGGCGAAAAAGGGCGATGCCTTTCCACGTCAATGGATAACGCTGAAATCTTCTTGCCTTGAGCTTTCACTCTTTTTTTCCTCTCTCACTCTCTCCCTCTTCCTCTCAGTTTTCATAGTGGAGAGCTACAAGTCAAATACGAAACGCGCGAAATCAAAGGCTGACACGCGAAGCGCGCACTCTTTTAATTCATGCTCCAAGCTTTTTCACACTCGCTTTTTTTTCTACGCGTGCACTGCGAGTACGTAAAAAAGCAAGATAAAGAAAGAGAAAGCTCGTAAACAGAATAATTCAAATGCGTTTAGTGGATTATCGAGTCTCTCGCGATACACACAATTCTACTAGATCCTCCGAGCATTTAGTTTTTCAACGCGCAAACTTTTGACGTGTTTATTTTAGCAGACTTTTAAGTCACAAAAATTCTTTTTCATATTTACACAACATCCCGAAATAGCCCGGACGAAAACTTGGAAATCACACGCATATCCTCTAATTAATAACGTAGAACAAACCGCACGCAGTAGTGGCGTAGTAGCGTGTGCAGAGCAGTTTCGCGTAAGCCCACCGCACAAAGGAAGTCGGTGACTTTTGTAGCGCTGCATCTGCGCATTGCTCCCGCGCTTCAACAAAAGTAGAAACTCATGCATTAAAGTTACGCGCGGACGAGGAACGAGCGTCGAAAAAAAAAGTTGGATTTCAAAGTTAGCACGCAATACTTGGGTAATCTCGTAGAGCTCGACTCAAAGTCTCTTTCGCATTTCCTTCGTTTCGAACGCTTCAACGAACGAAATTATGATAGATTTCAAAATATGCTCGAGCAACATGTATTTAATTAAAGTATACACGAGCTTCGTGTATTACAATAGTGAAAGCATGCACTGCCTTATAAGCTTTAAAACAATTTAGCAGACACCCTCCGCTCTTTTAGTTTCTTGAGAATATACCCTTACATACGTATAATATACGAGGCAAGACTCGCGCGCGCGACTGCAGCAGCAAGAGCTCGATTTAATCTCGGTAAATAGCCAACTTCTATAGAGGAGAAGGCAAGTAAGAGGTATGGAGCGTAGTGAGAGAGAGAGATCGCTCCGTACGCCTCGCGCTATATAATACATGTAGTACCGAAGTTGCGCGTTTGCTTTCGCGGTCTTGCGGACGCTATATTTACACAGACACGCGTACTGCATGGAGGCGCGTGGAGCAGCCGAGGCAAGCCGAGGGTAGTGCTGCAGCAAGTGAGCCAAGTCGAACGAGAAGAAGCCATTGTACAAGTACTCTAGCGCGAAGAATTGAGTTGCTCGCGCAGTTCCTTGTTTGATGCTTCACGGTTGTGAATCTTGCCTCGAAAATGCGCGACGCTACGAGCACAGCTCGATATGCTACGCTACGGCGGGATGCATCATCATCATCATCATCATGTTGTGTATACAAGATAACTTTTCCTATCGATATATTACCGTCGGGATTGCCCAAGTCTTTATACCTTCGGAATGTTTTTCTCGTTAACTTGCTTGAAGTATATAGTAGTGTACAGGCGAGGCTTTGGAAATTTTTACTAATTGTGCTTACACATACACACACATTGATGCTTCAAAGGCTTTTGCTCTGCATCTTTGAACTTTGATGCATGCTCGGGTATAGGACAAAACTCGTTGGAAGTAAAAATCTTAATAAAGCGAGTACGGCATAAAGTCAACAGAACTTACGATGGTATGCATCATATCCATTGTGCATCATTATCATGCGGGCGAGTTCAGGAGACCAGTACTGCTACCGAAAACTATGCCAAAAGTTCTTTTCCAAGTTTAGCGGTGTGAAATCGCATCAATCACCAAACTTCAGGGCCTATAGTGGTACAAAAAATAAAAAGAAAAAAAAACGCGCGCGCGCGACAACTTTGTTCTTTTTTTCAAACTATAACGTCGTCGTTCGTCCCCGGGCAAGTTACAGCAAAGAAAACTAAGTGCTCGTGCTTCGCCATTGGATAAAGTAATGCGCTGTTATACATTCAAAGCCGCTTCGATCTCGTTATCAAAGTGATATCGAATCCTTCCGAAAGAAGTAATCATCCAATCGAGCCTTGGCGGCGACTCAAGGACTAAAGTTCGAGTACTATCGGTCAGTGCGTGGGATTTCGATTAAGCTGAGGGAGACTCGAATTCGATTGCGAAGCCAACGCTGATCCAAATACAACGTTGCATGAGTTCGAGAAGCCACAAGTAGAGCTTTAAGCTTTCGGATGTATGTAGGTAACGTCGATAACTGCTGAAATAGTAGCGCTGCGCAGCACTAAAACCTCCGGAAGGATATGGTGATTCTGAAAGAAAACTTCAACATCGATCGTCGCCCTACACTTTCCGTTTCCAAGTGTATGCATGTATTGAAAACATGGAGCAGTTATTCTTGAAAGTTTCTAGCCCACGGCATACAATGACATCGCGTCAGTCGCAGATGCAATCCTACTTTCATGCACATACGCTCCAACACTTCCATGTGACACTTCTATATATGCGCTTCATGGTTGCTTCGTTCTTCTTACATCGCAATGCAGAAAAAAGTGATTGCATGTCTTGATTCATAATAGCATAAATGTATTGCTACTACTTGTCGGCAATATGACATTCATTGAATAAACTAAAGTAACGTGATTCCTTATGAGATGAGATTTTGTTAAATGGCTAAAAACTCTAGTAGTAATATTTATTGATCATATTCAATTGATACTTGTGAGACAGTGAACTCTATCTCACAAAATTTATGAACGAATATGTTAGGAGTTAATATTTAGTTACTTGCTATTTTCATTTTTGCTTCTCTAATCTTGGAGCTCGTTTAAATTTCAACGACCAAGAACTTTTATGCAGATCATGAGAAACATTGTAGGTGGATTTACTCGTGCCACAGTATTAGAGCTTATATCTTGTATTTTATCTCTTACTTATGTTTCTATTCGATTCAGCATATTCTGCTGTTATTTACATTTTTCTCCTGCATTTTTATACATAGCTTGGCTTTATTCTCGGACTTTGATATCGTCAGCTTTCAGCAATATTTTTGTATACATAATAAAAAAATGCATCGTATGAAACTTTTCAACTATGAATGAGACTCTAAAGCTTTAACGATTGCTTTTTCCAGGATTGCAACGCGTACGTCTGAGCTTAGCGTTATTCAATTTCGAGATTTTTTTCAAGAAAGCACGATGTTATGACACACTTAACTATAATATTTAAAGTCTGCATCAATTAAACCTAATAAGGAAATAAAGGAATTTTCGATTAACTCGATTATGTGATTAAGGTTCGACACTCAATATTCATTCTTTACACAAAGAAAATTTCATGCTGAACAGTTTCATTTTCAAATGTTTTCAATTAATCGTATTAGCGAGCATCGATGCCAATTAATTCAGATGTTGCCTGTAAATTTATTCCGATACTACGTAACGACCGAATAATGATGGAAGCTGAATCGAATGATTTATAGTGGAACGAACAAACTTGTCGTCGCACACGTATCGATTGAATTGTGTAATACGTCAATCATAATAAACCCGAAAATTACAACGACAATAAATGGCTCGTTGAACAATATTTTGCAATTAAAATACTCGAATATAAAAATGTGCAGTGTTATATATTTTTCATTCACCTCCCTCGCGCTAGATAACAATTATTAACGAAATTCTTGAAATATTTTTTTGCTCGATGCATTCGAAAAAGTCAATTTAAATTATTTCAGAAAGATGCACGTGCGAGCATATGAAATTGCGGGATCTATAATAAACGCATAAAATCAAATAACCGCCTAGTATTGGGTCACTACCACTGACGAAAAGTCCTATGGGGGATGTGGGGATGCGAGCTGGGCCTGCGGTATCTACATTACGTATTTTTTCCATCACGCAGCTTTGGCTCCTCTGATATTCCATTGGGGCAGTGCGTGGCAGTCTCACGTACTCTCGGCTTGACTGACGGCCAGCTAAAGCCAGTCCGACGCGCAGTAGAGAGAGAGAGAGAGAAAGAGCGACGATCCGCGCTCTCGCATACACATACACGTGGATCTGCGGCGCAGTGCATTTTACACTTTATATATATGCATCCGCGTTCTCGGTGAGTTTTCTCTACTCGATCTTGAATATGTAATGCGCGCGTATTTCGTCTACATAATATGCGCGCAGTGCTGCTATACTTACACGCTGTACGCGCGCAAGCAGGCACTTCCCTGAGCTAGCTTCCATTGGGAATCTCTTGTGCTTTTACGGATACATAACCGCGCGCGCTTGGCGAAACTACGCTAAAAAAATATATAAATACACCGAGAGCAAATCTTCTGTGGCATGTACGAACCATACGGTTTGAGTGAGGCACTACCTTGTACTACGCCGTGCACAGCCTTTGAATAATAGATTCGTCAAGCTTTTCTTGCGGCGGAATATGTATGGCTAAGGAATTTAAAAAGGACTGACATGGGCTTGTGTGATGATAATACACGAGATAGAAAATATATGTCATACTACTTTACGTGTGCGATCATTCGCGGATATGTCATGTGTCGCAGGTGTGCAGTGTGGTAGTTGCATCGTGCAGTAGAGAGTGACTGCTGTGCCGAGTCAGAAGGAGAGAAAGAGAGAAGCGGTTTCTGGTACATTAGAACGTTGAGCTGTGGCTCCTGCTGTTAGTCTCCTGGTTTTGCGATGATTAATGAGCGAGTCTGGATTATATCAGAGCCATAATTAATCCATCTTTTAACAACCTTCGATTTAAAATTAAATGTATGTATAATCTTCACTACCTTAAATATTGAAGCATAACAAATCGATCAACGTTTTTGCAATCAATTACTTTGAATTTTTGACAAAGTCAAAACAAT